CATTTATGTTCAAACAACAACAAAAGTGAATTTTGCATCCGATGACCCCTTTAAGGTCCAATTCTCACTATTATCAAACCATTAACTATGACTTCTGCTTCAATAAACTCCTGATTTGCTGCTTATTAATAGTTAGTAAGGTAGTTGTTAAGTTTAGGTATTATGGATGTAGAATATGCTCATGCAGAATATGTGCTTTATAAGCACTAATAAACAGCCATTATGTTAATAATATGCATGCTAATAAGCTACTAGTTAATAGTGAGAATTGGTCCCTATGCTAAAGTGTTACCATACAATCTTGTCTTGACCTTCTTCTTTCCAATGTTAATATATTATTTTGCTTTAAATGTTTAAAAGTCTTCAGAAAATAATTAAAATGAGATTAAAAAGCAATCATTTACCTCCACTCCCCAGTCGCACATAGAGCACTCCAGTAGCCGCAATGACCTTGATGGAGTTTGAAGCCACACACTGGTAGTATCCGGTGTCGGTGGTGTCCAGGTCTTGAATGCGGAGCTTGGATCCAGCCTCTGTCTTGCGGATGGAGACTCGGCCCTGCTCCTGCACCACCGGGGCGTCGTTCTTAAGCCAGCGGATGCTGGGCCACGGGTGGCCCGCCACTTTGCAGTGTAAAGTGACCGTCTGGCCCTGCACTATAGTTATATTGTTTGGTGGCTCCACAAACTCCAGGAAATAACCTGAGGGAAAAGGGCAAGGAAGACTGTTAGAGGGGTCAAAGGTGAGGACCCTGAGCATCAATGCAGGCTTGAGAAGAAATCAACCCCCCATCCTCGCTGAGATGACTGTGATGGATACTAACAGCTTGAGACACTGAAACCATTTAAAGGTTTGACTGATGTGTGGGTTTCTACACACATCAGGACTTAAAATCGCAAAGAAAAAAAAAACGCTGTGAATGGAAACAAGTCAAATATCAATTTTACATAATCTTTTCTAACTTGAAATATATAGCCACAAAGAATTGTTCATGACACAGAATCTGTACAAATATCATGGACCATAACAAGCATCACTTGGCCACTGAGTGTAGTTTGGGCTCCTCCTCAGTGCATCCTATAAGTGTTGTCATATGTCTTTCACACATTCAGTCTGTTTTTCTTCATTAGTAAAATGCAATTTTGTATAGGAGAAGTTGAATCATGTAGACAACAGGTTAAGTAAAATATTAACATCCAATAGCGCATAAATATAGCAAAATGCTCTTCTTTATAGTTATTTTTCTAGCTGACTGATGAGCTTATGGACACCGAATGGTTATTCTGAGGTAAATGTATATTACGTATAATGGGTTCACTTGTTGCTTGAACTGAGGCGCTAAAGCGATCGCGCCTGCTGTATTAAAGAGTGCCAAAACTGTATTTATTGTTTGAATTTCGTTATGAATTTGGCATAATTTTAAAGCTGATACTTTGTTTATTAAAAAGTAACAAAGCATTTTGCGATAATGGTGCAGTTTGTTCAAGTTGTGCACGAAATAGACTCTGCTTTTCCATACTTTTACTTGCACGTGTCCGTCATTTCGATCTCTCTCGCGCTGTACAACTGAGCTGCGTTTATCAGGTGTGTGTCAGCGCTGCTGTGCTGCAGAGATGACTGTTTGAAACTCTTTTTTCCACTAAAACTTTGATGCCTTTTTTCCTGATTGTTTTACGATGCGCATTACATGCAAATTTTTAAGTCATAACAGGTAAATATACACTGAACAAAATTATAAACGCAACACTTTTGTTTTTGCCCCCATTTTAAAAAATTATAAAGAGATTGATTACGGCAATCAGCCGTTGTATTAGAAACACCCTTGCAGCAGTGGTAACTATTTTATTTATTTATTTATTTTGTAGTTTAAAAATATCGTTTGCCAATATTTTTTTATTTGCTTCAGGAAATAAAAGACTACTTGGAACCCTCAACTAGGAGCGTAATTTATTTGGAATGCAAGAACACGAAAATATCGTTTGCCAAGCCATGTTATTTTTTAACTTGCTTCAGGAAATAAAAGACGACTTGGAACCTTCAACTAGGAGTCAAGCAAAACCAGCTCTATCAAAACTTCATGCAACTTCTAGCATTTTTTGGCCTCCGGTTCTTTTCAACGTACTGTGGCTTCTTTATTTCTTTATTTGCGACTGCTCTTATTTGCGCTGCGCTTGGTATATTGCATTGGTCGATATGTAAATGAGATGTTGCGTCTGTGTTCTTTAATTTGCGATTTGCCCTGTTTAGTAAAACTGGCCCAAAGATACTCTTGAACTAGAGTTGCGTTTATCTCGCATCAGTTTTTGACTGTGAAACAACGCATCAGGACATATGGCCAAAAATATTACCACAATATGTATTTTTCTCATA